TTAGAGTTATGTGGTAGGGATTTCAAAATTGGGTTATTGTCTGTAGAATATACTGTTTTTTTAATTAAATTTACAAAAAAAATCGTGAAATTTTTTAAAGCTATTGGCTATATCTTTTGGATTAGACAATTCCTTATTATTAATTTTTAATACTTTTATCTCTGTACTGTTTACTTCAGAAGAAACATTATTTTTAATTATTTTCCACGCTGATTTGCATGTATTTCTAGAATTGTAAATATACTTTGTATTTTGAATTTCATGAGCGTGGAGTGTACATTTTTTCAATATGGTTTTGTATCTATTATATTTTTTTAGATTTTTTGTTTTATTTATAGGTGACTGTTGATATTTTAAATAAAGTCTCCTCTTATTATTAGATTTTTAAAACTAGAAATACTACTACTACTTTTAAGTCTACCTGTTTTGAGAAAACGTCTCAACGAATTGAATGATTGCACAAAAATCACTTTTTCAATTACGCTATCGAATATCATCAATACTGTTTTGTTCAATGTTACTTGATGATGTATTCTTGTTTTTTACTATAATCTTTATAATATTAGTGTAAGTAAGTTGTGTTGGAATAATTACGTAAACGCAGTTGCTATTCCATGTGCAATTATTTGCATAACCGCAAATATTAGTCTAAGAACATTCATTAACGTTTATTAAAGTAGCTTTAATATTAAGAAAACCACCTAATTCAATATGATACTACCGATATTAAGTGATTACCACCACTCAAGGACATCTACCTGGGTTGCATATGCGCCACCACTTCACACCGATCTTCTGTGAGTCTGTGGTACTTCCTCAGACGAGCCTGCCCATTCTTGCAAAAGCGGAGTTACATGCATACATGTTAGGCATGGTCCTGTTACAGTAAAACAGTGAATAAATTTGTAATGTATGGTAAATTGTTGCAGTTAATGGAGATGACCTACAGCGATCTCATATAAATAACCATTATTGGGCCTTCCTTCAGAAGGTTTAACCGTATTTTTAATTGCATTAAACGCCATCTACCCTATCTAAGGTTAAACACAAGGATAGAGGCAGAGGAAATCGCGTAGCGCCGTGTAGATAAAACAAAGGATATATTTCCTTTGCTTTATCTACACGGCGATTCATATTCGTACTAGGTATATACTTATTAATTAAGATAAAATGATTGAGAACAAATCAAACTTAAATTCCTGACACTTGCTCTGAGAAACTTTATTTCATAAAGTTTTCAGTACACAATTTTTTATTATTATTAGTATCTAAGTTCATTATGACTACAAAGTTACTATTTTATTAACCTGTCAGTAAAGCATACAAATTAATATTAATAAAACGCGAATTTTATATGTAAATAAAGGTTACAGTTCTATATCAAAATATAAATATTTACTGTAAAATTGGAAGCAGGAAAACTGACAAGGAAAATCTTTAGAAAATGAAAGTATTTTCACTATATAGTACACTTATTTTTTTACTTTTTTTTCGATTCCAGATCATTGCTTTCTTTATCTTTTATTTTTTGTCGAAATAGGTCTATAATTGCCTGGATCATTTTTATCACCACTTTTGTAGACTTACTAAATTTCATAAGATCTGGAAATATTCCAGAATCTATGCAGTTGTTAAAAATAGAAGCCAAATGTGGTGCAATATATGGCATTATTGTGCTCATTAATTTTATTTTTTATAATATCATAAGTATCTACGTGATTAAATTTAAATGTGTGTAGACAAGGGGTAACATTATTTCTTAAAACATTAATTGCGTCTGCGGGAGATGATTTTAATGTACGTGTGACATTAACCGCAATGTCTGAAAAATAGCTTTCGAAACTACTCGCGATTTCGTTATCTGATATTATGGGAGTATTATATAACTAGTTTTATATGTATTATAACTAGTTTTATAGGTTCCCTGAATATCTTGGTTCTTCCAGATATACGGGTAATGATGTCCCATGTGGCTTTAGTTCTATTGTTTGAATTTATTATGCTATTTCTTATATAAATAGATTTTGCCTGAACACAGACTTTTTAAATATTTTTGAAAATGTTTGTACCCGTTTAAGGAAGTTAGGATCGTGATTCCACTGCCTCATACTATATAATTCATACAATGATTCCCTACTTTTGTATATACCCACTGTTGCCCAGTCACTAAATTTTACTTTTGAATTACTTAACAATTGTGCGCGATTTAAAAGTATCATTATAAGAAGATATGAGAAAGTCAACCATTGATCTATAAGAATCATTAGGGTTATTGACTCCTATATCTTTATTTAACATATGATGTGCCACTTTATCTCTAAAAGCATTTATTCTATTAGTAGTGACTGGTCTACACTTGATCTTAAGTTTGCTTGTATTAGCTTTTTCATTTATTGAAAATTTTAGCCGAAAGTGATCCGAGCTCAGATGATTTATAACATATTTATCATATACATCATTGTGACAGAATACATTATCTATACATGAGGAGGATAAGTTAGTAACACGAGTTGGTTCATGAAAAAGATTTTTAAGTTCAAATGAGTTAAATAAATTTAAAAGTCGTTTACTGAGTTGTGTTACTTGTAATAAATCCACATTAAAATCTCCACAAACTATTAATGATTTACTACTTGAACATAGTTTTTTAAGAGTCTTCAGCATGTGTTCGCCCATAATAATATAATAATATACATTTTTGCGAATCCACGGGGCTACCTTCAACAATGTATTAAAAATCGTAACATACAAAACAGAAAGAAATTCCAATGCAATTTTTACGTATCAATATTTAATCAATCGTCATACGATACCCATGAGCCTTTACAACAACACCCTGAAGTGCTTTGAAAACGTGCCATCGGAAAATAGACTATATTGAAATTGTAGCGTATTACACCCGGAAGAAATACTGTAAATACTTCCTCAAGAAAGCAATTGGATACGTGCACGACGCGAGCTGTATTTACGTTACAGAATATTATTTACACCATCCTTAATTACTTTCTTCACTTTCGAATTTCACTAATATGCTCACCATTTTTCAAATCGGGATTTGGATGACTCGGCGGTGCAGTTGCTTAGACATCCAGTACAGGAAGTCGTAGGTTGGATTCTCAAACGGGAGTATTTGTTTGACCAATAGTTGTGAATCTGTTTGTTCCAAAGAGGGTTGTCATCAGGCATGCAATACTATTTTGTCATTTTTCTTTACAAATTTTAATGTTTTATCTCAGTGCAGAAGAATATTCAACCTTTATTATTTATTTATTTATTATTTTATTTTAAGTCAAATAAAATTATTATTAATAATTATACCTCGATTATGGGTGACTAAACTCCTGAGGGTTCCTGAGGGAGCCTCGGCTTGGGCCGTCACGCTATTATTATTATCACTCGTTTAAAAGGCCGCCAAGCTCTTAGGTCGTATCTAGCGGTAGGCGTCTGTATCTATGCTGTCACCATCTACGACTAGCGGAATGGGATGCGCGGCGGCGGACTCTAAGTAGCTACGCGACTTCAGGACTTCAGGACTAGCTGCGCTGACTTCAGGAATCGAGAGATCTACATGTAGATCGACCTTGCGCATGAACCACGATGGTGCCGTAGCTCTGAGCAAAAATCGATTGGAATCAAAATCGAAATGGATGATCTGAAGTCGGTGTATTTGCTTCGGAGCAATATGGTACTGGATATTTTTAAGAATTACTACCTTATATGAAGTCACCTTGTTCCGAAGGAACAATTTATCTATTTATTTATTAAAGGATAAAGGCGACCGAGTACGAAGGCCGCCCGGTTCTTAACTCGAGTCACGTGTTGACTGAAGTTGAACTTCAAGTTGAAGTTGAGTCAAGGACTTCACTACGTATTTGTACATAACTACCTACCTACCTATTTGATTTTATTTACCCATGGTACCTGACTATCCATGAGTTTATCGGGTGGGGCAGAACAGTGAGTTCACTTGTATTCTAACAACGGAAAGATCAGGATACAACTCGTCAACATTGTTTATGTTAGCTGGGAATTCATTTACTTTGTCCCAAATGAATTATCGAAGTTTCACTCCCTCGTGGCGTACTCCAAACTTAATAAAGCTTAGATAGTATCGTACGTGACTTAAAGGTCCTCACAAAACAATAAATGTTCTGTAGATAAATTGTCGAATAATTTTAGGTGCTCGGTGAACGAATGATCGATGAATCGTTCCTGCGACTTCGGAAAATCTATTTTGCTTTCTTTATTGCATGTTTAGATTTACAAAAAAGGAACATTTAAATTTTATCTTGAGTGCAAAGACTAGTTAAAAAATAAATTGAGATATACAACCAATTTGATATTGAAAAATGCTTACATAATACCATTTTTTCATTATGCATATTAATAGGGTGTAGCTCAAAGAGGTAGCCCAGACACTGCGCTGTAAGTGCTATCAACAAATAAACAGGCCATGTTTCAATACGCTTTACGAATCAGAACGCAGGAACATCAACAAGAAAATGGAGGCCAGCTGATAATTTATTCATCTGAAAGATGATGGAACCGTTTCGGACAAACAGACGGAGTGACGACGATTATTGTATACCCCAATTTTTTAAAAATTAGATTTTCTATGTTTAAATGTGAAAGCTTTTTCGAGAAATTGATATTCTGATAATTTATTTTCTGAAAGATCTGGAATTAAATGATGACCAAGAACACGATTCTGTGTATAACAATCTTTAAAATTAAATTTTAACTTCGAGCTTTATTCTGCATCTATTTTCAAGTCTGGGGACTTGTGTTATAAGAAAAAAAAGTACTCTGAGCTGGTGAGATTAAGTAAGTTGCTCTCAAGTTTTTAGAAATAAAAGGAAACTAAGGCACTAGTGTTTAAAAGTCTCAATTAATGGTTAGGTTTAATACATCATGCATAAGTTTTTTCACACCAGTTTTAGTATTTAATCGTGCGGTCAGATATTTCTACTATAAATCCGCACACTCCACACACTTCTTTATGATACAGGTCCAGTGTCGGCGGTGGCGTATATCATTCTCATAGTGTTGGTGAATTCCGAGCCCAGTTTCCAACCGCACACTATAACGAGTGGGTCGCCTACTTTAACGAAACCTCTCTGCATGGCGAATTTGATGCAGAAACTGATGCGCTGATCGAGGTATGTTTGCCAATCTGCTTCTGGTGCCGCTATAACATAAGAAAGTAAATAAATACTCAGTTTTTTTTTTTTTCATTTTTTTTTAAATACAAGGTTTGAGGGACTGAGGCGATAATTCTTCATTCATCATCCTCCTGCCCTTATCCCAACTAGGTAAGGTCAACTATTTCGGGACCTAATATTTTTTATTAAGCGGTTTTAGGAGCAACAGTGAAAACCAATATTTTCATCACTGAGAGATTTGGCCAAGGCAAATTATTATTATTGATTTTATAATTAATTATTGACTTGAATTTTTTATGTTTTCAGAATCAACTCTCTCCATAATACCAAGTCTATTTTATAGGTACACAATATTTTCGGTTATTGGAATATACCATCATAAATTAACGGCATAAGACCTCGATATAAATGCATTTGTCTCGCTGTTATAGCATTCCTTGTGACTGCAATGATTGGGCAACGAGGTCTGTACTTGGCCACTTGAAACGCTGATTTGCCGGACAGCGTCACGACTATGATTGCGGAAGCTATCGAGCGGTACGCCGCCAACACTGCAGACATTGCTATGGCCGTGGTCTGATCACACGGCACCGGAGTCTAAATGTGAGAAAATCATTTTAAAAATTACAACAGAACATAAAAGAGGTCATGGTCCTCCCAATAATGACGAATCAAACATGGATAATGTTGCACACAAAGGCGTTGACGAAACAGAAATTATTCATGTATATGGTATGAACACGACGTTAAAATGAAACTATCTTAACCAAGGTTATAATAGATTATCCCTAGCATGTCATATATAAAGAGCCAATAACTGACCAAGAGTACATTCAATGTACAGGATATACTAAATCGCCACGCACCAAAGTCGGCTCTCAAAAATAGACATCCGTCCGGAAATACCTTGGCCACACAGAAAAGTGGCGTGAAGTGTAAGTGTTACACTTTTTTTATTTTTTGCTTCTAGATCATGTAGACCACTAGATGGAGTGACGACCTGTGCAAATGTGCGGGAAGTCGATGGATGCAGGTGGCTCAAGATCGTACTTCGTGGCAGTCTATGGGGGAGGCCTATGTTCAGCAGTGGACTCAAACAGGCTGAAATGATGATGATGATGAGATCACGTAACTGTGGCCCACTTTCTTATAGGTCTGTTTAAACTTGGCAATTTTTTTAGAATCCATCGTTAACATCAGATGGTTCATCTGCTCGCCTGCCACCTCTTTTCGTAAAAAACAAATTCTAATGATAAGCGATGACTGGTAGTATTAGTCGTGTGTTTCTATAATTTGAATAAAACCTTTTCCACGAAATCTTGGAACGTCCTCTTGGTCCAAACGCAGGCTTCCGCTTCTTTACATGCGCTAGCCATACACGCTATCGTCTCCACGGGACAGATTCCGACTGCCGTCTCTGCTGATAGCACTAAGGCGTCAGCTCCATCTAATATACAATTTGCAATGTCGAGGAGCTCCGCCCGAAGTGGGATTTTACTGTATCTCATGCTGCTCAAAAGGTGACCGCATAAACATACCGGCACATTAGCCTGTAATTTTAATGAAAATTCAATAATCACGTCATCTTTTACAAGTTAAACGTGAGTTATTTTCTACTTGTCAAACTTAAATATTTTGTATCTTTGATACTTTAATATGTTCACTAGACCAGGATGATATTAAAATATTTATGCTAATGTATTCGTTCTGAGTGATGTAACTGCTCAACCTGTAAAATACTGACAATCAGTCTTCTAGCATTTCTCGTATAAAGTTTGTTATCAGGTGAAAACAGTTTCTTAAACAAAAACATGTTATAGGAAACAGCTCCGTGAGCGGGCTCTCGTCTACAAGATCTAATTTGGCACAGGGAAGAAAGGAATAGCGATTTAAATTAGTGAAAGTTTTTTCTTTATGTGAAAAGTTGCCAAACGAGCAGGCGATTCACCTGATGTTAAGTGAATACCGCCGCCCATGGACATTTGCTACACCTGAGGGTAGCAGATGCGTTGACAACTTTTTGAAAATTGGGCTTCGGCTACCTCACTCATCAGACGAAACGCTAAAGTATTTTTCATACCTCCACTTGACGCCGGTCTTCTGTGAGGTCGTGTTACTTACCCAGATGAGCCTGCCCATTCGTACAACAGCCAAGGCTGCTGCGTGGCCCTACCACCTACAACAAGTCAAAACAAATTCAGAAACCGAACCCTAACACTTTTTTAGGCGAAAGTACTAGGGAAAATTTGGGAGCTAATTATGAAGATAAGATAAATTATTCTTTCACCTTGTTTGCTCGTGCAATCATATTTTTTTGGGCTATAACTAATTTTTTTGGTGAAATATCTGACCCCAATTCCTGTCTTGTTATCATAATTCCATTGGCCACCTAAATTACAGAAAAATTTACTATGCAGTATTTACATACTTTATTACGATATTTACAATTTCTTACGAATATTCTGAGTTATATATACTACTTTTTCAAACCTCAAGAATTTCATCAAAATTATGATAACCATCGATAGTTTGAACATTAGCAATAATGGCAATCTTTTTTCCTTTTTCGCCTATTCCGTTTTTTAACTCAACGATGGAATCCCCTGAATTTACAAATGATGCGACAAGAATATCCAACTGAAAGTTAAAACAATTGAATGTTTTATCCCTGGAAAAGTACAATGTAAAACAATCGATATCGTAAGTATCACATTTCACAATAATGTAACATTGTACAATGAGAAGTTAATAATATACTTGACATCCATGAGTATCGTTTTATATAACAGTGTAATACTAAATGCTTGTGCAGATTTTATTTGGTTTTTAAAGTAATGATAGTTCACTGGTAACATTCAAGTCCCACCTGATGATGTACTGCCATGTCTATAAATGCCTTATCTTTTTCAGAATAATTGGGAATTTGTAACAACACATTTGGCACAAACACATCCTTATTTGATCCAAGAAAGCCACCTCTTTCGATTTTACAAGTTAAAGTTGTACTCGATATAACTTCAACTTTTAACTGAATTGTCTCATTGTCGAGCAATATGATATCGCCTTTCTTCAGTTGCTCAGCAAAATATAGGAAATCAATGTACACGATGCTACTTGAACATCTCTCTTTATAGGTCTCGTCTGTAGTCAACCGGACTATATCACCGGCTTTCAGTTCCACAGGCTCTTCGTATGTCTGAATGATAAATAAATATAAATTTTAATCCAAAATAAGAAATACCATACCAGCTCATGCGGAGTGCAAATACCTTTTTGTTATACCATCAAGCAATTTATTTATATTTCACACTTACTGAGACGAATCAGAACATTATTCAGGTTTTAAAATTCATCGGGACGTAAGATCATAAAAAATGTCTGTCAGGTAAATGATTTATTGACTTGGGGCTTCAATATACTTAAGAACGTGGGTTCGAATCATAATGAGGTGTACCAAGGAGTTTTCGTTTTCCACGCGGAGAGATCACTGTCTCATCTATAATGACCCTACGACGTGGTAAAAGCCAATATATGACTAACTACTTGCCTCACTTTAGGACTTTACGTTAAAATTCAGTCAGGTTTCAATGAAATTTCTTACATCTGCAATGTTTCCAGTTCTTATTTTCCGTCCAGGTAAACGCGCCGCAATGGCCAAAGGAAAGTTCTTTCCTACGGCGGCACTGTATTCTTTTGCGGCCTGTCGCAACATTTTAATAGTATCAATATGTTCCTCTCGAGTACCGAAGGACAAATTGAGTAAAGCGACGTTCATACCGGCTGCCATCATTTTTTGCATAGTCTCAGTATCATTACAGGATTTTCCTATAAAAATTCATTTTTGTGTTGATGACTCTTGACATAATATATAAAAATAAAACTATTGAATGTTGCATTAGAGAATGAACATTCGTATTAGAAGGACAAATTTTTTTTTCGCCGTGTAAATATTATATTTATTGCTTAAAAAACTTTGTGTGAAATTGAAACTTTGTGAAACTTTAACAAAAGTTGTAAATTAAAGGTTTCATTTGCTTTATGACAACATTCCAGTCAACGTGAGAACATAAAAAAAATAACTGTTATCTGCAGATATTTACACTACACAAAAATAAACTAACAAAACGAAAGTGTGTCTCACCATAATACACTAAATCCAATACCATGAATAAGGTTTATAGGAACTAAGAGGACATCTCGAAAGCCTTACCTATTGTGGCGATAATACCCGTGAGGCGTTGACATCCTGCCGGTAACTTAATGTCTAAGTTCAACACATGGTCCAGAGGGCTTTGAGCACAGGAAGCGGACAATTGCTGACCGGGCAGTTCCATTGCGTCATACTGTACAATACACAATACATAAGTATTTGGTCATGTATTGAAGCTTTTATGTAAGTAATGTAATAAGCAATACAAATCTATCTTTAACTTGTTTAATTGAACTTGTTTGTTTTTCCACTTCGATTCACATTTTGCACCAATGATATTATACGCACATCATTCTTTTGCACCTATGTTTTCTATCGATATTTCCAAAATGTACATTACAATATTTTTATAGAAAATAATTTTAATGATATTTTTTACTTACTTCGGCAAGTTTAGTATCGTATTCTGTTGGCCAAACCATATCGCCACCACCACCGTCGAAATCAGTGAAAATTGTAAATAATTAAAATCGTTTTAATTACCAGCCAAGATGAATTGCTTCATTTACTTGTCAATATTGAATACTTCTTTCATTCGCAGACACTAACATTATTACCTCTTTACTAAAAAAAATAAGTATTAAGTAAATACTACTTTAATAAATTTATTTACTTTAAGGAATCATGGAGAGAGCGCCCTTTACTGTGTAGTACTGGGTCTCTTCGGCTTACGGATGCTGATGACTATAGCCAGTTTCCAGGTGTCCAGAAAGGAACAGCCGAAGAGAAACATATAAAAGAAGATTGCCTAATATAATTGCCGATACTAATATTACCGGGACCTTATTTTTTTGTTTAAGATTAACAGGAACACCAATTCAGTCACAAACTATTGGAAAAAGAACACAGAAAATACAGGAGGCATGTTTGAAAATTTAATTTAATTTATGACGAAAATATTAAAATATTAGTTACTCGATCGTTCGGGTCGAATCGTTAAGGTTCAGTTTTTATCATAGTAATTGCAACATCTGAAATTCTGAACATAAAAAAAGAAATTCCCTTTAATTTTAATTTTAAGGCTTATAAATACATAATTTAAATTAAAAAGCTTTCCAATTCATTTTAGATAATATTTTACTTTGTTTAAATTTCGCAAAACCGAGACTAGCATGCAAACGTGCGTGTGTTGCCATGGACACAAATTTTGATGACAACATTTGACTAATTTTATAACTGTTGAGTGGCTACCGCACAAATCTTATTAAAATCATCTAGAAAAAATCCGACTGTGCTAAAGCCAAGCAGCAGCTCTACTGTACGATTAGAGTATAATCGTACAGTAGAGCTGCTATATACGTTTAGAGTATAATTATATCTAGTTTTACACACCTACCTATCATAATATAATGATTTGTTTGTCATCAATCTTATGTCAGGGTTTGCTGGAAGAAAACTCTTTTTAGGGTTAAGCTCGCCTTTGTACATTTTTTTTTTGTAACTTTGTTTTCACTTATACTCTGTGTATAATAAAGAATAAAGAAAGAAAGAATACGAATGAGCAGGATCATTCGGGGAAGTCTCAGAATCCGCATCATCACGGGACGTTACACGTTTCGTCTGGTTATTGGCTTAATAATAATAATTAAAAGTAATGAAAATACAGTTTTTTAATTTGCGACATTTAAGTACGTGATAGGTTGTTAATTAATTATTCATATCGCTATGTTCTACTAATATTACGGAGTGTGCACATGTTACATGTTCGCTAGAAGGTTACTAACTTATTAAAACAAAATACAAATTAAATCTCAAATTGAATAAATAATTAAATAAGTTAAAACAAATATGGAATGAAGAAAATTTCATTAACGTTCTTCTACTAAAATATAAGATAGATACTTCTTAAAAATATATATGTTTAGGCTCGGAAGACAGGCGTGAAATTGATGTGCTTTTGAGTTTTGTCTGTTTGATCAGATCTGCTGACTTGTAAAAAGGTTATCTATATCCGGAAACTGTACAAACGGTTTCCTTTTATACATTTCTTCTACATACATTTTTTCTTTTATATCTTTCTTTTACATATATTTCCCCTTAAATAAAAAAATACGAATTATATTAGTATGGATATAGCATTTGCACTGGATTTATTTTAACCTCGTTTTAAACAATACCAAATCCAGTGAGGTGCAGTTTGAATAAGAATATATTTTACTTTGGTAACATTTCCAATTTCCTGTCGAATCCGTAGATTTCAATGGTGGCTAGACTGGTGACTTGATACCAGACTCCCAGAAGGCTTCATATCCTTAAATTTCCGATACAAACAAACACACGCGGATTTTCGTGTATTCGGAAACACGTGAAATGGAAATTTATACCCTGATTTCCCAAGCGGCACCTAGGTTATAAAATAACTGTTAATAAAAACAAAGAACAAATAGTAACACGGAACATATCCTTGTTATACAAACAGAAAACTATTAATATTCGCGAGTTTGTTTGCTCGCCATGTAATGGCGGTAAAAGTGTTTTAATACGAGGAATTACAAGTAAAGTAAAAGTTAAGGCATTATCCTTACTAGTATTAATAAAGGCCAAAGTTTGTATGTATGGATGGATGTTTGTTACTCTTTCACGCAAATACTACTGAATGGATTTTAATGAAACTTTACAATAATATAGCTTATACATAAGAATAAGACATAGGCTATAATTTATACACATATTTTATGTATATCTGTCTTTCGGTCTGAATGTTACGCCTTCTGCCTATTCGACGCAGACGTAGTCGCGGGCAACAGCTAGTAGTATATAAGCGATGGGGAAGAACGGTTATCGAGTGGCAGAATCTTATCAGCCACCTATATCCTTATCGTGAGAAGGTGGCAAGCCAGCACCGGCTAGCCACCTGATTCACCTGATGTTAAGTGATAACCGCCGCCCATATACATTTGTAAAACCCGTATAATTGCAGATGCGTTGCCACCTCTTAATAAAGTTGGCCCTGGCTACCTCACTAACCGGACGAAACGCACAAGTATATACTTACGAAAATATATAAACGCGAAAGTATTATACTTCCACTTCGCGCCGGTCTTCTGTGAGGCCGTGGTACTTCCCCCGGACAGACCTGCCAATTCGTGCAACAGCCGAAGCTGCTGCGTGGCGCTACCACAGTAAAAATTGGGTCCCATGTGGAAATCGAACCCACAATAAAGCGTAACACTTTCTGGTAGGAACGCCTGGTATAGACATTTTAGTAGGATCTTGATCTCGATGTGCAACCCCCATGAATCTGCATATATACATAAATAGCTATAATAATGTTACTGGTATACTCTGTGATAGTTTTTGAAATTTTTTTTTTGATTTTTTTCATATTTTTAATGCGGTTGGGCCACTCAGCACCATTGCTCGAATGGAAACGTTCGTCGAAAAATTCAATATGTAAAAAGTTTAATATATTAAGTGATTACTGTCACCCATGGACATCTACAACAAGCGTTTGCAGATGCTTTCACAGCCTTTAATAAAGTGGGCTTAGGTCACCTCACTCACCAGATAACGCGATAGTAAATAATAGGTACTTGCTGTCCAAGTATCTATGTAATATACGGGCGGCAATAGCTTAACATTAGGTTAATAGCTTGCCAATTTGCATTATCTCACAAAAAATAAATTAAATTAAAGATGAAGTAAACACCATAACTTTATATGCGGCCCACACAACCACGTAACAGTCTAGGTACGTTATTAGTAGCAATAATTACCGATTCAATTCGAGTTCAAGAATTAAGCCGGCTTAATATCTTGAGAACTAAATAGTTTAATTAATGACGTCACACTGGTTCGGATAAGTTGTTGCCAAAGTAAGGTTTAAGGTTATGCTTAAATCACTTCTAATTATATTATACGCTTTTAGAAAACGGACGCGCGGGTGTTGCAAATGTCCATGTCAAAGTCAAAGTCAAAGTCAAAGTCAAATATCTTTATTCAATATAGAATCATTCACTTACTTATTGATAGTCAAAAAACTCTACCACCGGTTCGGAAGGAAAGCCACTGACCTGAGAAGAACCGGCGTAAGAAACTCAGCGGGACATTTTTTTTTACTTGCCAAAAAAATTACAAATATGTGTACTATTATTAAAATCCAATTGAAAGAGCCTGGAGCAATCAATTCATTTCCAGAGTGTGTTATCATTGAAATAATCACTAATACTATAATAGCCATTAACACATAAACGTTCCTTTACAAGTTTTTTGAATTTGGCAACGGATTCATTTTGAACGTTTTCTGGGATTTTGTTGTAAAAGCGTATACATTGACCCATAAAAGATTTACTTGTTCTACGCAATCTAGTCGAGGGTAGAATGGGCGGCGTATATCACTTAACATCAGGTGAACCACCAGCTCGCTTGCCACCTTATGATATAAAAACAACGCTACAGCGCAACTTTGATATACGAATGCTTTTTAGCATAGCTGCTATATGCAATGGGTTTCTACGGACAGAAGGACAACAGCGAATAACATCCGAATGGAGAACTATGTCCTTTCAACTTCACCTCCCTTAGGTCTTTAACAAAAGCTTACTTATTCAAAATCATTATAACATGCTTTTTCATTTGCTCGTCGGCAACGAAGATGGCATTAATTGCCTTTGTTACTGTGTTAGGAACATTATGATAAAGTGGAGAAAGTGTTGTAGGGACTTTTTACATACATAAATTCCTCATCACGTGGTCAAACACACAGATCCGAAACAAGTACCAAACGATTGTCCCGTATGGAACCCACGACCCATCTATGTTGAAAGTTCATCAATTGTGGGCAATGATGAAAATAGGAAAATGCTAATTAATTCGGGAAAAGTCAAAGTTCAGACTCACCGCTAACTGGCAAGTGAAGTTTTATTAATTTAAAAGTAAAAACTGGGTTACACCTACTAATCGATTTTCTTGTTGGAATTATTCAAGGAAAAGTTTTCCATTTTATTACGCTGCTCGTTTACGGCGAAATGAAAGTTAAAAAGTTTGAAAGTATTTTGTTCCAGCAATAAAAAGGGTTCCTTTAAACGGGACCTTTAAACTGTGGTCTGTACGTTACTGTAACTTTGCAGTAGGCGTGCGGTAAACTGTTGGGGAATTTTTAATTATTCAATGTAATGTGGTTCTAAAAACTGTTAATTTATTTCGTTTTTTTTATGCTTTATTTCGTAGGCCAAGCAGTTGTTATATTATGCGGAATTAGAAAACTCGTAAAAGACTAGAATTCAGAAGTTTTAATTGACTTTTGAGATATTTTCGAATTGTCACATCTGTCAGAAATCTATTAAACATTGCCTTTTTTCTTTTTTTATCTGTGAAAAGGTAGCGAGAGATTTTTTGCTCGTAATTTAGATAAGAGAAAAAGAAAAAATTTTGCATACCAATGAATTCTATTCACTAAGCTCCTGCTTAACCATTGATGTTTCGAAAGTTTAATATTTGAAAGCCATAACAAAGGTAGTTGTCACTTTTGTTAACGATTATTACACATTTTTAGATCAGTCGCATAAGCCACGAGGTTCATATCACGAATATGACACGTGGAGTAATCCGTTTCGAGATACTTCCATTTATTACGTTGGAGTATCACACGTCGCCACGTAAATGGGCGGGTGGTGTGCTGACGCAAACTAGTTCCGTCGGGGCTTTCACGGAGTTAGTGGAACTTTTAATGGCGTCCGTGGGTCGCGAGAGGCAGAGGGGCGCTGCGTCGTATTGCATCAATTGTGTATCGGTTATCTCACAATTTCGTATACAAACGGACCTGTTCGACTCGTACAAATTGACTTGAGCTTATGGACTAATGCCTTGCTCCGTTAGTGTGAAGGGAAATGCAGTTCCTTTCATAGTTTTGCACTTAATCGAACGAAACAATGAGTGTGTTTGATTTTCATATACATTTAATGTATTACTGGCAGATTTTATTTTAATTTAGTTGAAGACTGGCTTTTATTTAAGGTGAGATGGTGGCAATCAAACTGGCATTTCTCCTGATGTGAAGTGATAACCGCCGCCCAAGTCTGGCTTTTTTTATTTGAGATTGTGGCAAGCAAATTGGCATTTCATCTAATGTTAAGTGACAATCGCCGTGGATATTTGCAACACCCTTAAAGTTGCAGATGCGTTGCCACTTTTTAGCAAATTGGGCTCTGGATACCTCACTGACCAGACAAAACGATGAAGTAACACTTCAACTTAACGCCGGTCTTCTGTGAGGTCATTACTGCCATGTTACTGCCCTGGACGGGCCCTACCATGGTTTCTAAGTTTGATTGAAAGAGTTACTCTTACATATAACTATGAAGTGGTTGGTACTATTGGTACGTGCTAGATTTTAGTGCATAGAAACTCGGGTTTACAAACTCGATTCCGGGCTTGAATGGAAAACTATTCTTATGAACTATATTAATTGTTAAAGTTGTTTAATATTTGTATACAAAATAACTTTAAGAACGCAGAATAATCCGGTCTTAAGATTAGGACTATAATAAACAAATACTAATTGAAAGACTGATTCAAATTATCCTCAAAGATTTCAGTCCTATCCTAAGAACCCAACTGTTAAGTAGAAAGAACGAAGGCAGATGTCAAGATTTCCGGGCCGTGAGGTCATCGAACGCTTAGCTTAGTTGGTAAAGCCTCTAAGCGCGAAACCAGAAGACGCGGAGACGCGGTTTCTAATCCCAGAGCTTTTGTTCATTTATCTACAAAATCGCAATCCAAAATATTAATCCTAAAATCAAAAACGAAGTAAACTTATAACTGCCAATTATGAAGCAGGACGGTGCTGATGCAATTTACGTGTTGTTTATTAGCTATAGGAGCGGTGATTCGATCTAAATGCCATTGACCTGGGCGTTCGCCCCTGAACCACTCGATCAACCTGCATACGACCCTTGGGCCTTGCAATTGAAACTTCACGAGCTCTTATTAAGGTTGTACAACTATTAATTGACTTCCCGTTGTTCGAAATCCCGAGAGATATTGCATTGTAGTTCAGGCAGTACACGAATGTACTTAAATAGAAACATCACTTGGAAATACAATTCTATAGAAAAACATATTTCAGATTAGCTGGCTTATGGCTGGCATGTTGATAGTTATTTGGATGTCTTATGACGTTCATGAGCATCGGTTACTGCCTTTTAATTAAATTTAAAATATTTTATAGTAGCACAATAAATTAATATGCATTTGAGCATTGAAACAGTAAAAATAACCAAATTCAAAACAAGGTAGTATAAATACATTTCTATTTACTTACATATTATCTTAAAGAACATGCTAACACACCAAAACATAAAAAAGAAGTCGTATTTATTTTACACAAAACCAGACATTGAGCAATCTATTGTTTTATTATCTGTCTCAGTTTAACTTGTAATCGCTGCAGTCGGTCTGATCCAGACAATATGGTGCCGTCGACAAAAGATTCCTGCAACCTGCCATATTTAACAGATATTTGTAAAGACTAAAAAAATTAAGCATCCATTGAGCAAAATTATTTTCCTACGTACTTTTGAATGGAAAATTTAAGAACTTTAATTACCTTTTTAGAAATACCATTTAACTTCAACTTGATCCGATTTTCATGTAATCATGGCAAAGAGGTGAAAGTTAAATAAAACCCAATAGGTACTCCGCAGTGGGGCCGCGAGGTGGACTATGCCCTGATACCCTCTGTATAGAGGAAGCCTTTTTCCAGTAGTGGGACATGTATAGGCTCTTACTTTACTTTTTTACAAAGGGTACACATACATTTATTAATTGTTTTTTTTTTTTTTTAAAGAAATAAGCAGTGTCTTATAAAACATCAAACATCTACTCCGAACATTGTTTGAGTATTCGAATTTTAATCGCTAGCATATTTATTCCGTTACTTTATAATAGACAACATCGTCGAAATATCTTTATATTCGCACGTAAAATCTGGTGCAGATATTTTTGTCAGCTCTGTTTTCTCTCTCTTTCTGTCTCCGTTGTATACGACCGCTAAATAATGAAATATCCTTATCTTTTCTATGGATATAAATGAATTATTTTTTAGTTATTTATGGTCAAATCATTGTCACCAAACACATTATACAAGATGTCAATGTTATGCAAAGTCATCCTCTGCACAAAAAGTATTAGAGCAACAGTATTTGACAGACTTCACATATCATTGAGATATTTTTTTTCTTATTTCGATGATTATCAGGTTTTCTCACGATATTCCTTCACCAACAGTTGGTAAACCAGCACTAATTGTAGTTAAAAATTTCATTAGTGCCAGCACCGCGATTTGCACTTCACGAGTATACTTAATTCGAATCAAGCCAACCGCCGGCTCTAACATTAATATAACATTGATAGCTCAGTGTCCGAGCGTTCGCTATTCGAGCAACCTGAGTTCAAATCCTGATGCTAGCACTAATGTTATTGTTAATTTTAAGTGCTGCTCTACCACGTGGTGTAGAAAAACACTGTAAGGAAACCTGCATATTTTCGAAACAATACCGAAAAACATTTCGACAATTTGTGAAGTCTGCCAATCAGTCAGGTGGTAACTTACGAACATATTAATTTCCTTGTTAAATTTCGACGTTTCATAAGAACGCGCAAGCGCCTATGTGAATAAAGATATTTTATTAATTATATTTATTTATTATTTAATCCGCTGTGGTATTAAATCTCGTCCGGGTAAGTACCACGACCTCACAGAAGACCGGCGTAAAGTAGAAGTATAATACTTCCGCGTTATCCAGGTAGGTGGCCGGAGCCCAATTTTCAAAAGGTTGTCAACGCTTCTGCAACCCTCGGGTGTAGCAGATGTCCATGAGCGGCAGTATTCACTTAACATCAGGTGAACCGTCTGCTCGCTTGACGTCTTTTCACATTAAAGAAAAAAAATAATTTACAAAATCCTAAGTGCTAACACTGCTTAAAATTACCAAAAAAACTAATACGACCATTAACGATATGTTTTTCATTTTTAAATAGTTTACCTTTGTCTATTTGAACAAAGATTAAAGACAGATTAAAAAAAAATTGTTCGACAATCTCAAACGCCTTGTGTCGCATAACAGTCTATGTCAAATGGCAAAAGCTATCCGCGTTGCAACTCCAAACGAAGTATGAGTTGCAAATTCAGTTGAAAATTCTCTTTGGAGCCGAATTTTCATATTCCGTTCGATTTTTTTCCGCAAAGATTTATGTACAATGATGTTTCATATTTCCAATGATTAACCTACCATTATTACGATTTTCATGTATTAACGGAACGGAACACACAGCACGAAATGTTATCAAGGACATTAAAACAATTAAAAAACAATGTTATTAATATAATTTAATTAATACGTGACTATCGATGCAATTCAATACCTTTAACCTTATTTGAATAGGCAGATATAGCTAGAGCTGTACATAATTATATAGATTTTTTAGTGAATTGGGGTGCTGTGACTGCACCAGACGGGTTGTAATAAACCTGCAAAACTGCAATTTTGCCATCTCACATTGTAAGTAATTAATAATCCTGTTGTTAACGTGTTGTGTGTTTAGACAATGCCCGTAACAGATGCTATGATAAAAAAGTATTAATGTAAAATTTATATTGTCATAAAAAAAAGATACACATAAAAAAAATATCTGAACAAATTTAACTCAACATAATATTAAAGCAATACTAACATAAATGATACCTTTGATTAGAATTAATTTCGAAAAGATCCAAGTTGTTCCTGTTGGCGAATCAACAGGAAAAAGTAGTTGGTTTATAATCAAAGTGTTAACAATAAATTACGAGTAATATTACTTATTTTACAACGCATCAAAAAACAAATTTTATGCCCAAAATCGTACTTAACGAAGCAGGGTAGCCAGAATCACATAGAACGCTTCGGAACTTTATGCTGGGTTGGTCCGAATGTCATGTCCAAGATTTATAAATTCAGTTTCAGCCTGGGAGCGCTACGCAAATTTTCCCGCCTACCGTCAAACGAGAAACCTCTTTGACGTCCATCGGTGACGCCATTTGGTCACTTACATGGCCGGGACGATTTCCGAAATGTTGAATTTTAAATTTTAACCGTGAACCGCCTGAATGAACGCACGCCAAAAGAAAATGAGCCAAATTCAGCTGCAACCTAGATTTATGAAGTATATCTATGAATCTCTTTTTAATCAAACGGTTTTTCTTTCAATGTCGTGCGGCATTTTGTTGTGGGGTAGTGCATCTGATCTAAATTCTATACTTATTCTTCCAAATAGAGCCATCCAAGCAATCTACAATATCGGAGCCCGGAATTCAGTGGGAGATCTCAGATCATTAATATACTCACAGTTGCTTCTCAATACATTTATTGTAATATTTTGTATATTCGTGATAACCTTAATTATTACCTAAAGAATAGTGACACACATAAAATAAACACTAGAAATAAGGACAAGCTTACTACGCCATTGTTTCTTCTACAGGTAAGGGTCGTTCATGGGGCAAGGTGTGCGTATGTATAATAAAATCCCACAGTCGTTAATAAGTTTGCCACTTGATCAATATAAAGGTAAAAATTAAAAGTCAACTTATAGTTAAAGCATATTATACCATTTCGGAAAATCTCGACGACCCAAATGTGTGGAGTTAATACTGTTGAAACTCAGGTAGGCTAGATTAAGACTATTATATATACTATACCTGTATATTGAAAACTGATTTTTTTTAAAAAAGAGCAACTGTAGTGTTTCTTGCCGGTCGCTTCTCAACAGAAACTGTTTTCCGAACCGGCGGTACCTTACGAACCTATA